ATCTAACGAGCGTGCGAGCACCCGTGTCAACAGCGTCGCCTGTAAACGAGCTGACAACCGACGATGTGTACACGCCGGTAGCCTGTCCGGTAGAAAAATCGAGCCAGATTTGATTTATAGCCAACGCGAAACGAATCGACTGCTCAAGGCCGTTCCGACAACCTCGCAGCTCCAGTTTTGTTCGATCGCTTCATTTTTCACTTACTCTCGTTTCGAGTATTTAAAACGATCAATTCTTCAGAATTTATTATTTTAAGAACTCTGTTATTGAGACAGTGGATTCGATTAGATAGGATTTTTGTCGAGGATGCGAAATGAAAAGTTAATGGCACGACTCGTTATATTAATTGAATGATATAGTTAAGAACTGGGTAAAAGTATTTCTGGACTCTGATAGAGATGGTGAAATCGGTAGAAAACGTTGGGACGGAGGAAGAAAGCCGACATCGGGCGACAATGTTTCGCGGGCATAAATCAGATCAGAGAAAGTTACAACCCCAATTAACCTCGGCGATACGGGATGACTCGTGCTGCTCAGGGTTCGTTGAACCGAGCCAACGACTACGAGAGTCCATTTTGGTCCGTTCACCTGATAAGAGGCTGACTAATCACCTACGTACAGATTACTGTCTGTAGAAATTTATTTCTAAATTAGATATTAACTTCGAACGCTCTGCTGGTTTTAAACGCCTCGTACATAGAATGAGTGGCGTTAAAAATAGCATATAATTCATCGAGTTTTATTACATTTTATTTCATTGATTACTGAATCTCGTTTTGATGTTTTGAAATGTTATAACGATTTTAATACGTAATTAACATAAGAAAAAGGCTAATAAAAATGAGTCAGCAACCATGTTTTGCGCAATAAAACCTGGGGTCTCAGCAGTTCTTTCGTTTGACGAAGCGAATCGCTCGTCCACAAACGCCCCGCTCGTTCCACTTTTGAAAATCGATCCGCTGGCAAAATCGTTCACTGGAACGACACACGATAAACTTTCTACGCGCGTGCAACGACGAAACGCACGGTCCCCCTTTTTCTGCGCTCCGTGTTTACGGTGACATAACTCGCCGTCGATTCGTCGTTGCACCTTTTAAAAATCATCCTGCGCAACGCAAGAATTATCCAGTCTTTTACCCTTTTTATAAATCAGACTTAATCTGACTGAACGGAAAATTGTTTTGCAAAATTAATTGCAAATGTAAAACGCAGGAGACTGTTATATCGCGTTGAACGACATATAAGAAAAATATATGCAAAGAATTAAAGAGTATAAATAATGTTGCTACGTCGCATCGAATTGATTAGTCCTGATGGCAATTCGATCGCCACTCTCAACAGAGTCAATTTTGGGGCTGATATTTATTTTTATTATGCTGATTGGACCGTTCGAGATTGAAACGGTTGATCGTTAATTCTAATCTTCCATTCGGGCTTCGAAAAGCTGATAGGGACGCGTTTCGTTTGTCGATGAGCGCGCTCGTATCACGTTCCACGCCGATGACCGAGAGAATGGACGGACGATATTTTTTTAATACGGAAAATATTTTTTATCGAAAAATATCTGGAATGAAAAAAGAAACATCGTGTCTATCGATGCATATTCTGCATTTTTAAAGTACATGAATCAGGGAAATATTTTATTGAAGAGTCAGTCGAACGATGTATAAAAAAAGCGATTTTAATTGGTTCGGGCGGTCAGAAAAGTGCGACGCGTTAAAAAGAAATGAAACGGGGTTTATGAGCCGCGGCGTTGATGGCCGAATTTGTCTCGCATTTGCATGGGACAGGAGCCGGGTTCGACGAACTCAAAGAGCGGCGGGGTCAATTCGTGGTGGGACCCTGGAACTTCCTTCATCGAGACCTAACCCCGTAAAACCTCGACCCGAAGCCGATGAATTACGAAAACGATCCACGCGGCGTGAGGGGAAAAGAAGCGAGCGCCGGCGCTCACGAATTCCCCGCGGTCGACCGACGAATTTAATGAACGAACCTATTGTCCCGTAGACTTTGAGGGAATTTCACGAGTTAATCGCGTGACTGGCAACGAAATCCGCCGGGAAATTAAATGTCCCCCTTTCATAATTAACAGTAATTTTACTTTATTAATGGTAATCCCGCGTTTTAATTGATCCAATTATATTAGTAGATCGTGAATCTTTGATGTAAATTCTTATTTTCATGAATTCATTAGGTTCTCTCGTGAAATGATTTCGTTTCTAAAAATTCTTCGTAAGTGCATTTAGTATGATATTTTAAAGATATAAACTTTCGAAAAATGCAGAAAAAAAATTCGATTTTTTTAATCAAATCAGTTTTAATGGGAAGTTCTAACATCTTTCGCACATGGATGGAATGTACATACATATATGCACATGCTTTCAGAATGTGAAACGGTAGCAACTTGACGATACGTAAACAATAAAATCTCTCATTGGTAAACAGATAAACGCAAGAAACGCGACGCTACTTCTGATAGTGAAAGAGCTGTCCGAGTATTTGTAATCCGAACGTTTCCTAGTAATCGCATACGGATAATGAATTATACACCTGTGCTATGCAATTCCACCCGGAATCTTTTCGGGTGGCCTCACTGGCCTCTTAATCATGTAAACAAACGGTACCGGATGTTGACACCTAAATACTTTTTCTTCACACGATCTGAAAATTATCGCGATACGGACGCGTCTTCTAAACATCTTTTCTCTCCGTCAAAGTGCAGCGTCGAGGTTCAACGAACCTGGGATGACGCGATACTGCCATGTTGGAAATTTATTATCTGACTCCGTTGTCCAACGACCCCCCGTTTTTTCCTCTCCTCTCTTTTTGTATATCGCGACCCGAGACCATCCGGGAGTTCCAATTTCTTAAAGGAAAGTGAAATGAAACGCGTTGGAATTCTCTGGCGCTAGCGAACTCTGAGTAACGCAGATCATTCTGATTAACGAAATGATGTTATAAAATGATCATTACGTATTACAGTGTACTTGAGAAACGTGATAGATTACGTTCGGCCAAAGACGTTCATTCATCGTTATTGAAAATCGATTAAGCTTGTACGACAATACATACAATTATACAATATATACAGTCTTAAATAACAACACTCCACGTCACTTTATACGAATTTTTATTCGAACCAGACTTCCGAAGTCACTTTTGCTCGTACAGTATATTAAATTAAGAAACCAGCGATCGTCATTAAAAAATGAATGATTTGAGGGATGTGTTGGAACATGTTTTAATTGAAATACTTGTGGGATTCACTTCCCTGTTACGGGTTTTCTATTCTGGTTGGAAAGTCGCGCGAAATTGATTCCGCTTATATGGAGCTGACGAGTGAAGATGTTCCCGGCCGCCTTAATCGAGCCCGGAGTTTATTCGGCCGTGCAGCTTTCGAACGGCCTTGCAGAAACCGTTTTCCCGTCCCTGATCGGATCGCAAAACATCCAGCCCCGACTGAAAGCTGTTCCGACGGATCGAAAGCCATCGCGTCGCGTTTCACGGAATTTCTACGTGCGCCGGGTTCGTTATACCTCTTTTAGAAAATCGTTTCGAAACGCCGAAGGGAAAGGGACTCGTACTGAATTTTGTCGGAACGTGAAAACGATTTTCTAGGAAATATTTAGGCCTTGTTATTCCTCGAGTGTACGCTGTGGCAATGAACGTGATAAATGCGACAACTGGCTCTGTTAAAATCATTCGACGTAATTCATCATGAGAAATATGTAGTACGATTCATTATAAAACTCGATTTGCCTATTGAGGAGAATTTTAATCGAAGGCAGCGTCGGTCGGACGGCTATTCCCGTTTCCTATGCAAGTCCCGTCAAACTGTTATCTTGCGCAACTATAGCTTTGACAACATAATTGAGATTAATACGAGAATCGTACGATTTGTTTCCTGCTAGTCAATTTTAATCGGGAACGAGGATCGTTCCCCTTTGATCTTTTCCATTTTCCTGCGACGCGAAGATCGAACGTTATTGCGAGATCGATAGCTCGAATCGTTTGTTAACGCGGCCGGTCGTTAAAAAGGGCTCTATCAATATGAAACTTAAAAAAAAATCGAATTTTTTTTTGCATTTTTCGAAAGTTCATACCTTCAAAAATATCATACTAAAATTTCAAGATCGGATCTCAACTAGTCTTCGAGTGGCAGCCTTCTAATAGTATTAATATAATATAAGTAATAATGTAATAGTTAATACTTTAAACGCGTTTTTCTCGAAATGGTAGTTTTCAAATTTGATGCTGACACTATAACTCAAACACCAATTATCCGATTGACTTGAAATTTTAACAGAGTGTTTTAGATATGCTTTATTGTTGAATGACATAGAATATTCTTGATTGGATGAAAATTGTAACTTTAGCAACGAAAATCGTCGAGCGTTTCGCCGTCGCTGTCTCGTTTTCGAAAAAGAAAACGACTTCTAGCGTCACGCAGCTGATTTGTCGTTCTTGATTCTTTTCGATAAGGAGCATGGGATGATGAATGGACTGTAAGGAAATTTCATTTGAAACCGAGCCAGATCTTGTTTGACACGGTCTGATTCGCTGCGTAACGCGTTCTGTCCATCTTAATTGCCGTCGCGAAATAGCTTCGATGGGACGTCATTGTTATTATGAAACCAGAGTATTTGCCAGCCGGCTGGAATTCACTACTTTCGATATTGTTTCCAGTCGTCGCATTCAGCAGTTTCGAGATTAATAGAAGACCTTAGAAAAAAAGAAATTCGATTCGAAGTGTACTAAAATGAATCTTGAATCTATCGCGCTAAATGCGTCTATTAAATTCAATTTATATAGAAGATATTCTGTAAGATTGAAACAGAAAATGTTTCATACTGAATGTTAACGAGAATCGTCATAGAAATATGCTGACTCTTTTTATTTAACAAGTCGCAGTAGGAGATATAGTCATAGATTTATTGTTTTAAATTGGATCGACGAATAAGGCACGGTTTAATGGAATCCCGTGTTTGTTTGATTGTAGAGTGGATAGCTCCGCGTTGCAGTTGGTGTACCCGCTGGATTCCCGCCCGGTGCAGCTGATCTTCCGGGGGTTGCAGGTGGTCAAGGAAAAACGAGTCCTCCTCCGAGATGTCTCGGGCGTTGTCAAACCCGGCGAGCTTCTGGCCGTCATGGGCCCTTCAGGTAATCGTCGACACGAAAACGAAGCCCCCTCGTCTCCTCCGAATCCAAACCCAATGCCAATTCCTTTCTCGTTAGAACGAAATTGATAGACGATAAAGATTTAAATGTTACATTAACGAAGTTGGCACTGAGCATTCATATAACACTATTAATTTATACTTCGTGACGCCTGACTTGTTTATCGTGACGGTCATCCGAATTTTTGGACGAAGGCTTCGTTCGCCTCGTTTAGACTAATTGACCGTTTCATCACGAACGCTAATGACCCGATCGAGTTTCCGAGCCCCTCTACTAGACAATTTCGCGGCAGTTTGCGTCATTCGTTTATTTCGCGTCAATTTGTTTATCAGCTTGTTTTGCAACGCGCGGTCGTCACGTTGTTACATTATTTACCAATTGAACCTTGCCCTTTTTCTAACTCCACGTTCCGAAGGAATGCTGACGGCAGATTTATATTGTTCGAACAGGTTGCGGCAAAACTACGTTGTTGAACTGCCTGTCCGGTCGCGTCGGCTTGGACGGGGGTGAAATCTGGTTGAACCGTGAAAGATTGACAAAAAGATGGCGCCGAAGAATCTGCTACGTCCAGCAGCAGGACGTTTTCTTTCCCGATCTCACGTTGAGGCAAACGTTGGAGGTGAGTCTCTGCTCAAAAACTTAGCGTCGTTGTTGAAATCGATCTACAAGGTGTGTAAATTAAGAAATGAGACTGACTTTTTTTATTCGAATAAAACTACATTTAAATATTGCCTCCCTCAAAATAAGTTCTTTGGGAAGCCGCGCTGGAGGCGATTCTTCTAATCCTCATAGCAGTGCTCGAAGAAATTAGGTCGCACTACATTCTGAGCATTCGAATCGTAAATCAATGTAACTATGTTACAGAAATTTATCGATACAATTAACTAGAGGCCGGAGGTAGTTCTACGATACAACATAATTTCTTAAAAGAAAGATATAAACGTTACGGTCGTTCCGATGAGGGAAAAAAATCGAAGGAAAAAGTAATTTTATGTGTATACACGTATTATGTTCGTAGCGAGAGCTTTGTCGTAAAACGGGCAATTTCCATAAAACCGCATTCGTCGAACGCAGAAGTCTGAACGTATCTCTCCCCGTATAATAATATGTTGCAGCCCAATAAATTCCTATCGCTCCATCCAATGAAACAGCTATCTATTAAACCAGGCCAATCCCCGTCGTAAAACCCATCACATTTGCATCTGTTCGAAAAAAGTAGGACCGTTCCTGCAATTTGGTTGCAAAATAAATAAAACTGTATCTCTCGCTCGATCGAAATTTCAGGCAAGGCCCATTAACAGAAGGCATTTAATAGTATAAACGCAAATGTGACGACGAATTAACGTCAAACGTTCCCCCTCACAAAAATCCTAATAGCTTTCATTTTCATTCTTTCACACGTACATTTACTGTGTCAAACGCTGTAAAGATCTTTCTGATAGACAAACGAAGTTTCAATGAACTGTAGAAGGAATAAATGATCGTTCGGTTTAGTAACGTTCATTGAGAATTTCGTACCGGTTTCGTGTTCACGGTACGCGTGCCAGCTCGTAAGTAGAAACGGGCGTGCATAGTCAGACGCGCCATAATAGACGAGATTGGGTCTAGCGGCGCGCGGGCAGCTGGCGAAATAAGAATGCGGCTCGCGTTCTGGCACGGGGGAGTTTCCTCGTTTTCCAGGAAAATTGGCGATCGCGCGCGCGTGCCAAGTTCCGTGGGAAATTTATAAAACGACTGAAAATTAGGAGGACGCCTCGCGTTTGAGACGGGCGCGAAATGCCACGGGCCAACGGCCAAACGGTTTTCCTCTGTGCATAAATCCTCGCACGCTTCACAGTTGCTCGGCCACTTAACGATTAATCGCCTGCCCTTTTTCACATAAATAATTAAACACAGAATGGAAATGAAATGAGCTTCGTAATTCGTGTGAATTCTTGTATATATTTTTAACGATCGATTAGGAATCTATTCTGATAATCGATAGAAGACGTTGAAGGCGCGTTGGACGATTTTTAATTCTCTTTGACACGCGAAACAAATTAGACGTGCCGTAAGATTGGGAACACGTGTGCGACGAAACCGAGGAGAAACGAACCGATCCAACGGGACGTTGGCCTCTGGATCGTGGCAAGGGGGACAGAAGTTGCCCCGTGACAAATAGAGGGTGGTCGTGAGGAAGAGAGTCCCGGTGACGTCATAACTCGGTCAGTGAACCTCGAAGCGCGTGTCTTACGTGTTTCAAAAACATTCGGCGCCGCCTCTACGCGCGTAATATGCCAAAACCGATTGCTGCCTTCTCTCTCTATATTTCCTCTTCTTCCACTGTACGTCTACTTACGTACATTTCTTTCTCTGTCATGTCGCGTTTCTTATCTTCAGTCACGTTTCTTAAAACCGTTTGCTGTCTCCTATTCTTCCAGACATTTTCTACAGCAATTTCTTTTATTGGAATATGTCCTTCTCTTTCGATCGATGCTTTCAGTTATTTGATTTTTCTAAAGCCGAATTCATGTTCTCTTCTATTTCCGAGTTTTCAAACGATGGACTCGTTTAATAGCACCTATTTAAGCTCGGATCTGGAATGGGCACGGTATTACTTATCGAGTAGCGGTTCCACGAATCGAATAACAGCCTCACTTTCCCTTTTCTCCGCCTGCGTCGACCGTGACAACCGGCACGTTGTCCTCTTCCGTGGAAAAGACAGCTGAACAGTCATACGACGTATTTCAGATTCCTAACTGAACGTCTTCCCTGGTCAATCACCTCAAACACTTTGAATGAATTTTACCCTCTTACGAAGAATTTCCTCATTCCTGAAAGATCTGTCTCAAACGTTTATGAGTGAATTTTACCCTTCTACAATATGAAGGGTCATCTTTTATAGTTCGTTTTAATAAAATGAGGCGAAGAGTGAAAGCGTGGACATTTATTTCGTAGACATTTTCCTCTTCGTTTTCAAGGCCCCGAGATAATTTTCTTAGCATTCCACTCATGGAATTTTTCGTAGTTTTAAGGGATGAGGTCGAGTCGTCTTTGCCTGGACGCCACTTCGTGTACGACCTTGTTAAGGATGTATTGGCTATACAGTCAATCGCAAAAGTTTATGTACCTTAGGAAAACGCATTTCCTATAATTAAAAAGAAATCAGACGTCGGAAGAATAATGCTAATAATACATAGCTACGTGCTAAAAAGTATAGAAGGAAATATCCAATTAACTATTGACGCTAGCGAAAAATTTGCACATGGAAATTGTAGATCTCGTCGTCCTCTATAAGAAAGGTTATATGCAATTTTTCCGTATGTCCAATGGTTTGAGAGTTATTGGCTAAAACCGAAAATTTGGAAGAAATTGAAGGGGTACCCCTTGGAAAAATCTCGGAAAAATCGAAAATTTTTTTTTGTTGTTTATTATTAGCAATGTTCTTCCGACGTCTGATTTCTTTTTAAAAAATGCGTTTCTAAAGTGCATAAACTTTTGGTATTGACTGTATAGCCAATACTTCTGGTTATATATTTTAATCACTTAATATCTACCCCACTAATATTCCAAAAAATCATTATTGATCATTGATCCTATATCATGGTATGCATTAAGTGAAGCGTGAGGCGCCTTCTTTAAATGGAAATGCGATCTCTGGAACCGGTGGTACGTGTGTACGGAGCTTAAGGGCGATCTGTTGGCCGACACACCCTGCGCGGATGGACGTGCCATTTTCTCGACGGCCGAGGCTCCGTTACACAAGACGGGCCCCGTTATGCGGAGAGAGAAAGTGGCGGTCGACCGGGCCGACGATATTTCGCCGCTAAGCGGTTACACGGTCTTCTCTCGACTCTCGGCCAGCAGGAAACTGGACTGCTCCAGAACGGAGCGAGCGTCATCTCCGTCGACTAGCACGTTGCGTTATCCTAGGAGACTCCTCAACGATTTAACCAGGCGAATAATATGGTGTATTATAATGGGTCAGTGCATAAGTTCTTGCAATCTTCTGACTTGAAATGAGATACGTCATATTTCATTCCCATCGTCATTTACATTTTATGGTGAAATTTGTTATGGAGTCGTCCTGATTTTCTATTATTCTTTTTACAAACAAGCGGATTCTTGTTTCGTAGAATTCGAAAGATCGATGTTGGTCGTCCAGATCAGAGTCACCAGTTTTAAGTCGAAGAATTCGTTTCTTTTTTTGCTTATAGAGCAAAAGCACGGTCCAAAGATACGAATAGAATGTTTGTTGTTATAATTCCCACAGGTCTTTTCGAAACTCGTATAACGAATTTTACCTATTTATAATTTTTATATTTTATTAATATCTCGTAAAATGAATTTTCCTTTCTTCATATGCGTATATCGTAATATCTTGTGAGGATTAATTACAAATGAGTGCATTAACGAGATTGAATCCTACGATTTTATAAACAGAAATGCAGAAATTTTATTAACTAATTGGAACGTCATATGTGTAATCATTGGATTAATCACTGAAAGAAGGAAATCTATTTATATCTGTTATATGAATACCTTGAATCATTTCGATTGAGGATTAATTATGTGTTGCTCGTTAAAACGCGAGCATTAACGAGGCTGAAGGAAAATCGGGAGAGATGGACAGAGATAGAAAGAGAATCGAATTTCCTCTCATTAAGTTGGTTAATCGTTTCGTTCGAGCGGAATTTCAAATAGCCGGCCGGGAAACAATGGGCCGTTTAATTGGCCGCTTTACATTGATTTAACTTAACCAACCGCGTCGAAACCTATTATCAACCGTTTTATATAGTTGCGCGTACCTTCGTCGAATGATTAAGCGCTACCATTAATCAGCCGCCTAATACAATTTTATAAACCCGACATACCAACCGACCAATTCCTCTTATTATTACAATAGTCAATATAAATGGCAGACTTAAAAAATTGCATCTGTACAAAATTCTTAAAATACATGTAAGAATTTAAAAATAGAAACGAGGTAAAAAATGAAGTATTATTATTTTTGAAAAGTAAAGAAAATTCTTATCTTGAGTTTTTTGAACGTTTTGTTTTGTATAAAGAAATAGCGGCGTGGCTGTACACAAAATTGAATATTGACGTTTGCGAGCACGCTACGTGCCGTTATAGTGATTTAACCGGTGAGCCGAGACCCGAAAACGTTTTTGGTCACGCGTTTCCTCTGCGGTCCCGGTTCGTGTGCCCCCGAATTATCGATCGCGCGTGAACACGTTCCGGGGCCGAGCCGTGGAAAGTTCGTGCACTACGTGCAGAACGGCGTGAACCCGATGGTGGCGATGATTCCAAAGAACGACAAAGGCGCGGCTCGTTACGCGAACCTTCTTCCTTCTTCTGCAACGTTTGCAGTTCCTGCATTATGCAATCCGCCGAGATGCATCTCCGCAAAAATATTGGCTTACACGTATCCGCCGTTTCGTAACTCGCTTTCTATCAACCATAGAGTTTTTGTTCAACCTAGATTTTTGCAATGAGAAAGAAATTCAAAATCTTTCCCACATTTTAATTTAGCAAAATTTATGGATCAGCACTTCTAATAATTTTAGAAAATACACAAACTACATTTATTATACTAAATCAATTTCAGTGGATTATGAATATTATTTAAAAATCGCTGGATACTTGGAAATGAATTTAAACCGGTGACGAAGGGAAATGGCCAAAAATCGGCTTCGCATGCGCGAGTGGCTGGAGCGCGTTATCGTAATTGATTTAACGATGGTAATTACGAGCGGACCGATGCGGTGCATCCCCGGGGATACGTGTCAGATGGTAATAATAGACACAAAGTGGCCTGGATGTTACGAAACGGAAATGCACGTCCACGCCGACGGGTTTTGCTTACATTGCTGTTTAATGCGTAAACGGGTCCGTTGCCTGTGTGGGATATAAAGCTTCCCGTAAAATCCGCGATACCATCTTCCTTCATCTTCTACATCAACACCGTTTCTGTCTATCGTTTTCTGAACATAATCCTTGGAATCCATTTGACTCTTTATTTTTAAAAAATTCTCTTTAAGATATTTGGAATTATTTATGTCATGGAATACATAAGTTGAAACTTGGAGCAGGAAGTCTAATTTATGGAATAAAAATTGTATCTCTAATTCATTTCATCCATTCGAAACTGAAGCTCCAAAATAATTTAATAACGTCTACTTTGATTAATGAAAATTAAATGTTCTTTGATATTAAAATTATTGTATTGATTAATGATTCGATTATTCTGGTCCTCGTCGATGTTCATGGATCCTTTCTGGCATGTTTCAGTACCAGGCGAGGCTCAGGCTTCCGGACACGTTCTCGCACTCCCAGAAGATGCAATGCGTGGACCACATCATCGAGGTCCTCGACCTCGCCGCCTGCCAAGATACCAGTGAGTATACATATAGACTGAACGTGATCGATGAATCGTGCCAATCTCCGCGTGCTTTCGCCTGCCACACTGTCTAGCCACTTGGGTCCTTCTCTTCTTCATTCCTATTTACAATTCTAATCGTCTTCCTTGTGTCCCATATTTCCTGTTCCTCGTCCTTTATTTCTAACTATTTTTATCAAATAAAACGACATTGAGAAAATGAAGTCTGAAGCAAGAATATGAATTTCCTTTATCATTTAAAACTGATAACTTTCGATCTTCTGTACATCCTTGGATCATCAATTAGATTCTTAATCTATGAATGGATAAAATCGATCTCCTGAGAAAGCTTGTAAAAATTCTTCAATGTTCCGGCAAACAGAGAATTTGTTTTTGAAATTTCCGGTTCCGATTTGTCGGAAGATCAAACGGAAATCGTGGAAATTGGGACGAGTCTCAGTCGATGTAAATTCAGCGTAATTTGTTTGCGAACCCCCCCGAGCTCGTAACGATTTACGACTTCGTACGGAACGGTAAGAAACGAGGCGAGCCACGCAACCGTGGTCGTCGCCGCTGCTCGTCGTTGTTGCCGCGATTTTGATCGACGATATCCGCGATCGTAACTCAGTGCACCCTTCGTCGTAAAGCTTGTCTGCATCGTTTGTTATCGGGACGCGTCGCAGATCGCTCGATCACGTGATCAAAAACCCTTTGAAGTCTACGTTTAGTGTCCATTGCAGTATTTAAAAAATCTCAGTTGACCAAATCAGGTCAGAAATATTTCAATATTTAGAAAGTTCAGGGATTTAATCGCTTGTATCTTTTCTGTTTAGTTATCGGGGATTACACGAAGAGAGGATTGTCCGGTGGAGAGAAGAAGAGGACGAGTATAGCTTGCGAGCTACTCACCAATCCGTCGTTGATGTTACTCGATGTAAGTGATAATCATTAAAATTTCTTATGAATCTCAAGAAAAATAAATTTAATTAAATTACACCTAAATCGAGTTGATTCACACTCTATCTGGTTGAATAAAACTAGTTTAGTAAATGCTAGAGTAGAAAATTATTTCACACGGACATCATGTATGATTGTTCAGGAACCCACAAGCGGGCTGGACTCGCATTCGGCACAGGCGTTGATCTCGCGGTTGAAGAAGTACGCCGAACAGGAGGGCAAGAGTATCGTGGTGACGGTGCACCAGCCCAGTTCCAGGATGTTCCACAGTTTCAATAAAATCCTGCTGTTGAGCCGTGGCCAAGTAGCATATTTCGGGCCCACTGCGAACATCGGCAGGTTTTTCTCCACGATAGGACTCACGCTCCTGCCGCACTACAACCCCGCCGATTTTATACGTAAGTACTCGACACTAAAATAATTATTTAGTACTGGATGAAAAATAATTTCGAGCATCGCGACTTAAAGTCTTGTGTCTCCATAAAAGAATTCAATTTAAACTTGTCAAAACTTTTATCATTAAAAGTAGCTAAATAATTGCGTGTATATAATAGAATCAGGAATCACGTAGCCTAGAATAGATGCAACCTAAACCTGATAACTGAACTGCGGATTTTTATGCAAGATAAAAGATTTCTAAATAAATATTGTAATACGCGCTCGTCTTTTAATATTTCGTATATTTTTTAACGTGAGAAATATACTTTATATTGATTGCCGATAGAATTTTTGTATACGTGCATAAAATCCGCTGTCTACTGGTAACACGGCGAAGATAGTTTGCTCGAGGGTTGGACGTAAAATTGTTTGCAGTGGAGCAAATAAAGGGGCCAGAGGAGATTCGGGAGCGCATCATGGCCGCAGCGAGGGCCGCGAGACAGGGACCTGACTGCCCGCCGGAACTTCGTCCGGAATATAATCCCAGTCAGCATCCGCTCTGCGACCATCTGATCCATTATCACGAGCACCACATCAGCCACAACGGTATTGCATACTGTATACGTAGTACATAACGCGCGACCGGTTAGTTTGAGCTAAACGCACGGCTTACGAATTACCATGGGTTTATCCACCCAGAATAACTGCGGTTCCTCGCTTTAAATTCCATTCGAGCTCGTAGCTATTAATTATAGTATTTGTAAGCCGACATCAGGGAAACTGTTTAAACTTTGTATAACGTAAAATAATAATCCATTAAACAGATTCTGTTTAATCAAGGATTTTATTATAACTTCATATGAGAGAAAGATAAAGGCTCTCTATCCCTTTTATTTCCTTGATGGTTTCAGTGAAGGAAGACGAAGGTCGCACGCTGTGGTTGGACACTCAAAGCCACGCCAGTAGTAGTGCCAGTTCCGCGGATGACGACTTCGCCTGGCAGTGGCCCACTAGTTTTTGGTCGCAGTTCAAAGTGAGTAATTTTGCATAATTTCCAGTGGTTAGACACACCGGAACTCGAGAACTTCCTTCACCACAGAATACATTTATCTAATATTTTTAAAAAAACGTTATAAAATAATCCTCCAAATTCTTTTTATTTTCGATGTTCTACAATTTAAGAACTCGTTCTTTTTTCTGAACATCGATTGCACGGTGTATTTGCGGTGGAGGGAAACACGTATGTTTGAGCTGATACGGTGCAGCAAAGGGAAGTGAAATCGGGAAGGTAACGAGAGCATCTCGTGACGATTTCTGTTTTCAATTGCTAAAATGACGTCACGTCCTTCTCGGGAAATAACGGCATCGAGTCCGGTTCATTTCGTTCCTTAACGCCACGCTTCTTCGGCCTGCAGAAGCGAGAACACCGCCATCAATTTACCTTCGGGCTAGGCCGTAATAAAATGAACGTGTGTCTAAAAATATATTTAGACTACGAAAACGTTTTCATAGTGAAACGCTTGACGGGTGTCCATTTGTAAATTCGTAAATCCAGCTGCGATGCAATGGAAAAATTGAAAAACTTGACGATCGAGTCGTCGCGCTTCGTAGTTAATAGCGACGTGAAAAGATTTGAACGAGCGACTATCCGGTATGCGATAGATAAATAAAAATGACATCAGGATTCAAGTTTAATGCGAACATTAAATTGGTATCGCGTAAGTCCTCGACGCTTTATCTCGATAGGTGTAACGCTTGATAACATTCAAGGTTCTTCCCTGGTATTTTTTCTCTTCGTTTTCCAAACGTTTGCAAAATTACGTTTTTAATAACGTCATTATTCGATCACGTGGATGAACTTCATTCGCGTTTACAAATCAGTTTCGATGGGTTTCTAAGGAAGAAAGATTTCTGGCGATTTTTAAAAATCTGGCAAATGGGTGTCGACCGGAAAATCGTGACGATTCGGAAAAAGAGTCGCGCTAGAGATTAAAGAAAAGAGAGGCGCACCGCGAAAGAGAGGATCGAGCCGCGCAGAAAGGAGAACTAGGTCGCGTTTACGCGATTCGCCATATCCGGATATAATTACCGAGACCAGTACGTCTGTTCTGTTCATTTCTTTGTTGCGAACGCATCTCGCCTCGTCACTTGCGTCACTTTTACCCGTCGCGACGCAACTATTCTTCTAGCCCCATTTTCAGCCCGACCCTTTCACTGACCGACCGTATTCGTTTTTAACTCCAGTCAATCACTTTCCACTCTGCGTCGTACCGAAATACCGACGTATTTTTATCAGAACTTCGGTACAATTAGATTAGTACTATGAAATATTTATATAATATCGCGTTACCAAATCCATTGCCGGGCAATAAGTGTAGAATAAGAAGCGAGAGTGGGTTGTCAAGTGATAGGCCGAGATCGATGGATCTGGTTAATTGAGTAATTAAAGGAGATATCGAGCCGGTGCTCGTTACACGGTTAAGCGGCTTGCGTACGCATTAGTTGCAATTTAAAGAGGCCTTCGAAACCAGCATTGTGAAACCTTTGCGTTCTATTTCCTCACGGCCGCCTGATATAATTGAGCTGCACCAAAGAGGTGTAGCGGGCAACCTTGCATTGTGACATTGTCGTGCAGACGGGGGCAGCGTTTAGTATCGTTACAACCGCGATTCCGATTAATAACCACGCTCTATACCTACGTACATCTATCGATCAAAGTCCGGCTCCTCCTTCGACACTTCCGATGGCTCTCCTAGTTAAATACCTAATTACTATCCCGTCAATTATCGATTAATTCTCGCGCGACTACTTTATATTTACATCTCGACGCAATATATTAGTTTTAGAAAGATTTTCATGAAGAATCGATAGAGAGATCGTGATAATTTGTAACGAGGTCCCCTTTCACGATTTGTTTCAGGTATTATCGGAAAGAAATTTTCAAGAGGCACGGCCACGGATGTTGTCTCGTCTGAATTGGCTGCAAACGATAGCCCTCGGCTTGCTCGCAGGGCTATTGTGGCTCAGGCTTCCTAGAACCGAGGCGGCGCTTCACGACATCCAAGGCTGGATGTTCTTCAGCACCACGTACTGGATGCTGTTCGCCCATTTCGGTGCACTCTCCAGTTGTAAGTATTTCGTCTCACAATCCGTATTACAGTATTCCTTCGATAAATATGAATGGACCAAAAAAGGCATTGATTTTTTGTCAATTAGTTTAGTATTGTTTCGAGAAGATATTCGATTCAAACAGTGCGTTTTCATTGCCAAAATTACAATTTTCATCCAATCAAGAATATCCTAGATGATACAACAATAAAGCATGTTTAGAACACTCTGTTAAAATTTCAAGTCAATCGGATAATTGGTGTTTGAGTTATAGTGTCAGCAAATTTGAAAAATACCATTTCGAGAAAAACGCGTTTAAAACATTAACTATTACATTATTACGTATATTATATTAATACTATTAGAAGGCTGCCATTCGAAAACTAATTGAGATCCGACCTTGAAATTTTAGTATGATATTTTTGAAGATATAAACTTTCGAAAAATGCGAAAAAAAATTCGATTTTTTTTTTAAATCTCACACTGGTAAGGCCCCTTAAAGAATTGGTTTCTCGATACAAGAACGATAGGATCTTTGAATGAACCTTGCGTGAGTCGCGAACATTCTCGAGCGGTTAGTTGGAAAGGGGGAAACGAGAGAGCCCGGGGACAAAAGCTCGGACGGAAAGTCGTAAGGTGGTGGCGGCGGCCGGTGGTGCCGGGTTGCGCAACCACGCGGGCAGCGCAGATAATATGAGATAGATTGGTTAATTGAGCGACGACGACGTAACGCGCTGAATCGGCCATTCAAACCGAACGCGGGTTTTTTTTTATTGCAAACATTTGCAAAGGACTAGAGGAACGGTCAATCAAGAACGTTAGTATGTAGGTCGCGGAGTGACCCACTTACCGGTAATTGAGGCCCTTTTGTCAATGCCTCCTCGGTGCGCGCCGTGGCTCGAAAACGACCGTGACGAATTTCAAACGGGGAGCCAGTCTAAGAAACTCTTCTCAGAGGACAGAGAGCATTGCCCCGAAGTAAATCGAGTAGAAACTCTTGCTCCGGTTTTATTCTATCGGCTTCGATTGGCCGAATTCAGAGTGGATACTTTTTCCCGGAAGAAGGAAGAAAATTGGAGATATTGTTGGCGTAGATAAATTACTTGAATTAGGTTCTATTCTCGAACGAAGAGTTTTTACCAATTATTTTTATATTCGGTCGAACCAACTAGCGGTCTGGTGTAAAAGAATAATAGAGAGGGTTCGAAGGCAGAGATTAAATCGATTTTACAGCTTGAGAAACCAACGCCCTTCCTCCGAGCTCGCTTTTAACGTCTCGGCATAGCCGTTTCACTTTCTATGCGGAGTCAAGGGACGTCGATGACTGTAAAACAGCGAATGTCTGCGACTAGCCTCGGTCCACGGGAGGGCAAAGTTATGCGCCTCCTAAAATAGTCTCGCATCTATTAACTTTTCCGTTCTGTCCTTTATTGCCTTTTGTTCCCCAAAGGTTTGTCACCTTTATTGCCTCGCTCGACTATTTTTATCTGTGAACAGATATTTTTATTGTGTTTCGCTCGGACAGAAAGGAATCGGCCTGGACTTCTGGAGATTAGTTAATTAGTTGATGAGTCATTAGTTGATGAGTCAAGGTTTAAAAAATTTAGTTAAGAAGAAGCAGAGATAAAGACGTGGAAGGGTGTGATAATAATTGTAAATCAACTACGCTTCTGGGCCAATAGATTGAAATAGAGAGATTATATTTATAGTTGATGAGTCGAGACGAGACGAATCGATCTCTGTTTTATTATTCAATTTCAAACAAACTGAACGAACGGATATGGCGATTTCTGTTTCAGTTCCTCCAGAACGCGAGGTGATCAACAAGGAGCGGTTGTCAGGATCGTATCGGCTCTCGGCCTATTACCTGGCGAAGATGGTCGGCGAGCTGCCGCTTACGATCACGCTGCCCGCGGTCTACCATATCATTAGTTACCCGATGTTGGGCTTCCACAGTCCAGCAGTTTTCGTTACTCTGCTGGCGTTCCTCTTACTCAACACCGTCGTCGCTCAGGTATGTAAAACACTTTTGAATAAAACGAGATGGAGTATCGATACGAGTCCTGATCTATGGATTATCTAGTTAAATATATCCCGGACTTTATGAACACGCGTGTGAGTATCGCGATAAGAATTTCGCGGTTTCCTTTTTTCGACACTGCCCACCTACGGCCGACGCAGCTATGAAAGGCAGTCGCGATTTACTTTCAAAACCACCTACCTATTGACGGAAATGAGTAACCCGTTTCACGATATTATGTCCCCGTCTATAATATCACGACTGAATGGGTTTCTGTAACGTTTGATGAGGAATAAAAGAACATGCGCTTTTTTTTCGAAACGAGTTTCACTCCTCCATAGTATAGCTGAGAGTTTCTACGAATTTTCTATCACGGATTATAATCTTTATTAGGATCATTGAAAATCGTGTACTTGATGGTTTCAGAGCGTGGGATTCTTTGTTGGCGCATGCTGCTTGGACCTGCAAGTCAGTATAACAGCGTCCGCGCTTTATACGTTGGCGACGCAACTGCTGGGCGGCTATTTGGCGACGGCGGTCCCTCCCTGGCTGGCGTGGGCCAGATACGCGAGCATGGTGCACTACGCCTATCAGAACATGCAGATTCTGGAATTCGGCGTTGGCGAACCGATCACGTAAGCGAAATCATATCTATCCCCATTTAAGGATGTATTGGCTATACAGTCAGTCCCAAAAATTTATGTACCTTAAGAAAACGCATTTCCTATAATTAAAAAGGAATCAGACATCGGAAGAACAATGATTTTGGATGAAAAAAGTTTACTTGTTAACGTTCAATTGGTTTCTAAACAATAAAAATTGATAGAATTTGTTATATTGTT